TACCCAGAGCAATCACTGTCTTGAAGTTGATGAGTAGCATTTGCATTTTATTATGTGCTCCAAAAAATATGTATATATCGTTATATGTTTTTAAGCTGTATATAAATGGCATCACACTTTGAGCCTTTTGTAAATTACTTTTAATACTCAGCATTTTAAGAATTTTTTTCATATTGCTATGTTAAAATCCAGTTCATTTTTTTTTTACTGCTATGAAGTATCCCACTGAAAGACTACACCATAAATTTTTCATTCCTTTGTTGAAGCACAGTTCGTTTGCAAGGTTGTTTGCTATTTGTAACATTGTGAACATCTTTCTCCACTTATAAGAGTTTCTCTAGATCTGTACTGCACAGTATGGTAGCCACTAGCTTAAAATGTGGTTAGTCAGGGCCAGGTACAGTGGCTCATGCCTGTGATCCCAGCACTTTGGGAGGCCAAGGCAGGCGGATCACAACGTCAGGAGTTCAAGACCAGCACGATTAACATGTTGAAACCCTGTCTCTACTAAAAATACAAAAATTAGCTGGGTGAGGTGATGGGCACTTGTAATTCCAGCTACTCAGGAGGCTGAGGAAGGAGAATCACTTGAACTGGGAGGCAGAGGTTGCAGTGAGCTGAGATAATGCCACTTCACTGAGATCCAGCCTGGGCTACAAAGTGAGACTTGATCTCAAAAAACAAAAAATGTGTTAGTTGGAATTGCATAAATTGTGCATAAATGTAAAACGCATGTCACATTTTAAAGACTTAGGATGAAAAAAATGGAATATCTCATTAATAATTGATATAGGTTATACTGATTACAGGTTAAAATGACAATCTTTTGCATATATTATGTTAAATACAATATATTACTACGATTATTTTTTCCCATTTATTTTACATTTTTAAAATGTGGCTACTAGAAAATTTAAAATTATATATATGGCTTGCATTATATTTCTCTTGGACAAGACTGGTCAAGACCAGGAGTCAGTAACTGATTGCCCATATGCCAGCCATCTGTTTTTGTAAATAAAGCTTTATTAGAAAACATGCCACTAATTTCTTTGGTGGCTTTCCAACTACAATAGCAGTGTTATGTAGTTGCAACAGAGTCCGCGTGGTTCATGAGCCTAAACTATTTACCATCTAGCCTTTTAAGAAAAAGTTTGTTTACTCGTATTCTAGAGCAGTAATTTTTAACCTTTTTTAAAAAAACCATGACCCACAGTAAGAAACATATTTAATATCATGACCCAACAAACACACATATCTGAAACAAAAGTTTTACAAAACAAAGTTTCGCAAATCCTTTCTATATATTTTCATATTTTCTATTCTATTTTGTTAAAATAAACTGCTGGTCAATAAATTGCTAGTGACCCACTAAAGTGACCTAGCCATTCATTTATTACTAGTTATTTGAGTGGCACTGCTCAAGATATATATCCAAAAATAGAGTGACTGGGTTATAGGAATGTGTGTATTTAAGTTTATGAGATTCATCACATTGTTGTCCTGTGTGTTAGTTTACCAATCTACAGTCTCACAAACAGTGTAAGAGAGTTTCTATCTCCCTATATCTTTAACAAAACCTGATCTTGCCAGTCCGATCTGATGGGTATGAAATAAAATCTTGTTTTATTTATAATCAGATCGTTCATAAATGTAATCATCTTTCCATGTGTTGAGTGGCCTTTCATGTTCCATTTGTGAGTTGCTGGTTCATTTCCATTGCCCTTTTAAAAATGGAGTCGTTTGTCTGTTTCTTAGATTTATAGACACTTTTCCTATTCTGTATGCCAATACTTTTATTAGTTACGTGGGTTGCAAAGATGTGAGTTGGCCACTCCAAGGTTTGTTTCATTCACTTTTTTTTTTTTAGGCAGAGATTCACTCTGTCGCCAGTCTGGAGTGAAGTGACACATTCTTGGCTCACTGCAACCTCTGTCTCCCCGGTTCAGTTGATTCTCCTGCCTCAGCCTCCTGAGTAGCTGGGACTACAGGCATGCACCACCACATCCAGATAATTTTTGTATTTTTAGTAGAGATAGGGTTTCACCATGTTGACCAGTATGGTCTTGATCTCTTGACCTCGTGATCTGCCCACCTTGGCCTCCCAGAATGGTGGGATTACAGGCTTAGGCCACCACACCTGACCCTTTTTCACTTTTTAATGGTGCCTTTTATTTTACCAGTTTTAAATTTTAAAATAGTCAGATTTATCTATCTTTTTCCTTATATTGCTATTTTTTAGCTCTTATTTTAAAAATTATTTTATACCCCAAGGTCACAAAGTTTTCTCTGCTATTTTTTCTGATGAATTTAAAATTTAGTGGTTGTTTCTTTTCTGTTGAAAATATGTGTTTCTATATGGTATGAGATATGTCTCTACTTTCTTTTTTCTTCATAACGTGTGTGTGTGTGTGTGTGTGTGTGTTTTTTTTTTGAGACACTGTTTCACTCTGTCACCCAGGCTGGAGTGCAGTGTCACCATCTTGGCTCACTACAATCTCTGCCTCCTGGGTTCAAGTGATTCTACTGCCTCAGTCTCCCAAATAGCTGGGATTACAGGCATGTGCCACTATGCCCAGCTAAGCTTTTGTATTATTAGTAGAGAGGGGTTGGCCTGTTGGCCAGGCGGGTCTCAAACTCCTGACCTCAAGTGATCCACCCACCTTGGCCTCCAAAAGTTCTGGGATTATAGGAGGGAGCCACCATGCCCAGCATCATTTTATAATTCTAATTTAACCTTTATACCCAAATTGGACAAGGACAGGACAAGAAAGAAAAATTATGGACTAACCTGTATTTGAATGAAAATGTAAAAATCCTAAATTAAATATTAGTAAAACTGAATCCAATAATATATAGCAAAATAAGTTCATGCAATTATATTTGCATTACTAGCAAATATGGCTAGAATGCTTAATTAAGAAAAGCTATTGACATAACTCATCACATTCACAGAGTAAAGGAGAAACATGATAACGATTTTTTCCCATAGATGTAGAAAAGGCATGTGATAAACCCTAATAGACACAAAATGATTGTAAAATACAAAACTCTTAGAAAACTTGAAATAGAAATAAACATCCTTACCCTGATAAAGAGCATCTACCAAAACCTATAGCAAACATACACCTAGTGTATTAAAGCATCCCTTGTACTTCCTATATGTGGAGTTGCCTCTTTGTATCTGGCACCTGAGAATTTTTCTTTATTTTAGTCTTGGCTGTTACTTTAAGTATTGTGTGTGTGCATATGTATATGAATATATATATGCTCATACATACACATATTTATGTATTTTTTAGTTTTGTCTATCTCCATACATTTCATGAAGTTTGTGGAATGGGAAACTGTGTCAGCTCCGTAACTGGTGTTGGAGTTTCTCCCTTAGTGATTTTCTGGGCCTGAAGATCAAGAAACTCTCGAGACCACTTTGGAGGGGGCAAAGCAGTGGGATAGCCACAGAGCTGGCTTCTCTCCTAGACTGAGGATTTGTTATGCATAACTTTATATCCTGGCTTCCCTTGGAGAAAACTATTAGTGATAAATCTGATGTGGATATAAGAATATTGTAAGAAACTGTCTTTGATTTCATTTTGCCAGGAGGTTAGATAAAGATCAGCTACTGCCATAGCATTTCCTAAGGAACTGGTATTTTCAAGATTCCCATAGCGATACTGAGATACAATGATGAAGATCAGTCGTAACGTTGCCATCACTGTCACACTTAATTTGATGGGTTTATTTTTTAAAGGTGATTCTAAGGATTGGGATTGGGGAGAGGGACGTGTTTTCTAAGGACCACTTTTTGTGATAGCAAACAAACTCTAAACTCTTCTGTTAATAAACAAGGGATTCCTGTGACTATGAAAATTAAAACAGGGTCTGGCAATGTTGAACACAAAGAACGGCCAATACATTCCTGACTGTAAGGTCGAGTTCATTACATAAGACAGTTCTGATGCCAAAGCAATACTGTATTGTGTGTCTACCAAAGCAGATATTGTGATATGGATCTGCTGTAGTAGGAACAGGAATGTCATCAGGAAATATCAGTTCAGACAAATGTGGGTTTCCACCAACAGGGAAAGAGCTGGACCTAGTGTGATCTGTCTCCCTTCACGGTGAAAATATCAGGTCAGAAGTGAATATTCATGTGGCCCTTGGAAAGTGAGAAGGAGAAATCAATAAGCTAAACACCCAACCTAATAATAGAACTGTTTTCTCCAATGTGAGTATTTTTCTCTTGAAGTTGGTATTTCCATCCTTGATCTGTTGGTGATACTATTTAGAGAAACAACAAAAGATTTCATAGAAAAGCAAAAGGTAGATTCCATTGTTCCAGAATATTGGTTATGTCAGCTTGGTTCTAGCTAAGCATATCACTGGAAGTCTGGTTCACATTTAAAGTTTTCCATAATCCCAAGAAACAATCTACACCTTTTGAAGCTTTGGCAAAAGAGTACCAGGCAAAAACGAAAAAAAACAATCCCACCTGTAAAGGCCTAGTTTGCAATTCACTTGTCCTGGAATCTTGCAAAAACAACCCAACCTTTGTATATCTCTATACATTGGTGTGTATAATAATGTTTTGATTTTTATGCATTGGTGTGTATGATGATTTTTAATTTTATACATCAGTATGTATGATAATGTTTTTATTATTTTTTGTAGAGATTTTACACAGGATATAATAGGTGACACAAATGTTTTGGCAGATGGGGTCAGACTATGGAAGCAATTCCTTCCATATAAGAATTCTGGTTCTTGTTTAAATTTAATAGTCGCTTCTCCCAACCACACTCAGGAAGTCTCCTGCCATTCATGTGCTGCATAAGGTTCCAGAAGAGCCCCTCTACTGTCTCCCCAAAATCTTTTTTTATTTAATAAACTTACTGACATTGGCCAGGTTTCAAAAGTGTAGTAGGTTGATGATTTATCAGCCTGGTTTCTGAATGGAACCCAAATGAGTTATTCATATTGTTTGTTCCTACCTTTTCCAGGCACCTTTTAAAAATGAACAAGAGCAGCTCTGATTTGGAAAAAGTGAGCCAGGGCTCTGCAGAGAGCCTCAGTCCATCCTTCAGGGGTGTCCACGTCAGCTTCACCACCGGCTCCACAGACAGCTTGGCCTCAGACTCCAGGACCTGCAGCGATGGAGGTAACAAACTTGATCTTGACCAAGAGGCTTAGATTCTCCTGGACCTGCAAGGCCAGTCCTGGGTTGCTTGCAGGATTTGAAAGGGCTGAGCAAGGACTTGGTCCTGCGTTCTCCATGAAGTAGACTTTTCCAAGGAGCTGTTGAAGTCAGTTACCTACTGAATATATAGCAAGCCAGCCCATTCATATTGCCTTCTCTAAATAATAAGTGTGTGGACATGGCAACATGGTGAGAGGAAGATGAGGTTGAAAGGTTCCTGTTTCCCTCGGTAAGGAGCCATCTATGTTCAGGTCTGCTTTCTACTTCTGTCCTCGACCACACATTCTCACCATCTCTTTCTCTCTCTTTTGCATGTACGTGTGCAACTACACACATGCACTTACTAAACACAGCAGACGTTTACATAATGTTTGCTGAATTCAGCATGAAGACTTCATTAGGCCACCATCTAGCCTGCTTTTTGGGTTAAGTTCTAAGGCTTGTGGGTGGATATGTCCTCCATCGGGAATGTCCCTAAAAAGGAATTCTTGTTTTTCATAGTTGTGACCTGGATGGGTCACATTTAAAACCTCTCACCCTTTCAACATTCTTTGTGTATGTGTCCTCTCCTGTATTTCTTAGACATGCGTTAGCCTGTTGGATGTAGACTTGTACCCACATGACTCCCTTTCTCACTCCTATGGAAGTATTTCTTCTCAGTAGGCAATGACACGGTAGAGGGTTCCATTGTAAATTTACTGTCAGCAACATTTTTCTACCTAAATGATAGGTATTGGCTAAGACAAAAGTGTGTGTGCTAAGTTACTCTGCGGTGTGTTCTGATGAGAAACCTCTGACAGCTCTTACTTAAAAACAGGAAATAGCTTAGTCTTGATTTAGCAGGAATATAACAACAACAGATTTTCTTTTACTGCAGATTTTTCTAGGCTCTTATCTTCTCCCTTTTCCCAACCCATTGTACAACAAATTCAACAAGGCAGATTATTTCAGAGAGGGCAAGGCATCTCGACCACTAGCCCCTGTGCTGATTAGCTCTGATCCAGTCACTTGGAGACTATAACCAGGTGTCAGGAGTGATCTACAATGAACCATCAGCCACCAGCCAGCGGGTGTCGGGAGAACTGGACTTCATGCCTTCACTGCCTTGTTTCCCAGAACCAGTAAATCATGATGTCTGCTTGCAGGGTTCCTAAGAACTAACTAGGAAAGATAAGGTTAAAAACACATGACAAGTGGTGGATAGGATAAGGTAGGAAATTGAGCCCCCCAGAAGATGAGGGTTTCTTATAAAGCCTTCCAGAAGAGAGAGAAAAATCAGTGAAGGCTGATGGAGGGTTTGGAGAAGGCGTTATGGGAACATAGGACTTAGAGATCATGTCTGAAATGTGGTCAGAATTGGGGAGGTAGCGGGTAAGGAGGACAGGGCTTACCAAGTTCAGAAAAGAGAAACAAAGCCACAGGAATGGCAGTGCATATGGAAGAAGGATGAGACCAGTCTGACACGCTTCAACAGACACCGGCAAGGGGAAATGGGATATGAGCTCGGTGGGAAGCAGGGGCTCAATTGTACATGGCTCTCAAGCAATCTGTGCAGGTGGGAGACAGAGAGCTGCTGGAGGTTTGTGAATTCAATGGGGAAACCTCTTCAGACATTTTCTCCTGTTCGTTTCTGAATAGCATGAATTAAAATGAATATATTGCCATGGTATTCCTTTATCACAAGCTAGTTGTTCGGTGGAAATGCACTTCAAAACTTGGACTCCCAGATCAACAAGAAGATATGTACCTTGTCAGTGGACTCTGGCCCCTGAGAGCCAGCCATTTCTATCTATGTTCCTGGGCTTGGCTCTGTACCCGGAACCATATTTTGAAACTGGCAAGAGACCAAAGGCATGACATTCTCTCTCTCTCTCTCTCTCTCTCTCTCTCTCTCTCTCTCTCTCTCTCTCTCTCTCTCTCTCTCTCTCTGTCTCTCACTCTCTCTTCTTTTTGGCATCTTTTAAACATTAATCATTAATCTGGAGAATATACAGAACCACTGGTCATATAATATGAGAAATCCTTCATTCATTTCTCACCACTTACCAAGGCAGCTTAAATCTGTTATTATACAATTAACTCACAATCCCATGGGTCATTAACTCACTTTTATTCTGTAACTGAAATATTTACCCATTGCAACTTTGGTTACTATTCGGCATGAGAGAATGGATCCAAATAGAAAGCAGAACCAGTTCACACTGAAGTTCTTTGAAAAGTGACTGCATTGTCTGCCTTTCTAAGATTATATATTAAGCCAAAAGACACCATTAGACTCTACATTTATTCTGTCAGTAAGAATCTGCTAGTGAAAACTATGCATTTCATTGACTTTTTTCATACACAACATAGGCTGGCCTGAATAAGTTGAGGAAAAAGTCATTCTAGGACCTCTTGGAATTGTATCAGGGTTAATGGCTACAGTTAGTGATTCAGATTTTATGCCCCCCACAACCCTCCCCACAAAAACAGGTTTAAGTTTTATAAGGAAAACCTAATAGAAATCTCTAACTTTGTTACATTTTTAAAGCAGATGTTTGCTCTAAATGTTACAGTGGCAAAATGCCACTTTTGTATCAATGTTAATTTCACCTCTTTATACTTGTATCGGATTTCATATTCCTCCAGGGCATCTGTTATCCCATTTGTCCAATTCAATTGAACAGCCAGTCAACTCAGTGCAAGGAAAATTTGTCGAAGCAGTTGTTTGGTTTATGCTTGGTTTGGGGACAGACTGCATGTGTCAGGACAGATCCGTGAAGGCTGCCAAGGGGAAGGTTTCTGTAGGGAATGAATAGGTTGGATGTGTGAGGGAAATGATGATCAGAAATGGTCATCAGGAGACCCTTTCGCTTTAAGTGGTTACTTGTAAATATGCAAACCTAATGTCTCATTGAGATCATTTCCCTCTTTGATGTAGGATAACATTAAAATTCAATTCAGCAGTTCAGCAAACATTTCTGAATGCCAGGAGATTAGGGGAGATTAGAGAGTTCTCTGTTGAACTGAAACCATTGGCACCAGCAACAGATAAGAGGTCTGAAAATACGGTTTGTATAGATATTCTCACTCACATGAATACATGTACCAGGGTGGTGATATCATTCTTATTTTTATAGCCGGCAAACCAGAGATACAGGACACAAATTAAATATATTGACAGTAGTCAGTCAGCTTGTTTTTCTCAACAAGCTACTACTGGCAAATTTTTAAAATATGTATATTAATTCAGTCATTCATTTTATAGATATTGTTGAGTACAAACTCTGTGCTGAGTACAATTCTAGATGCTGAAGTTTCAGCAATGGAAATGATTCCCAGTCCCTTCAAGGGGCTTACATTCTGGTAGAGAGAGACAGACAATAAGAACGATAAGATGTAAAGTAGCTACTGGTCACAGGGCAGTGAGTGCTGGGAGAAAAATCAGGCCAGGAACAGGGTGGAGAGGGGTGGGAGTGCCCCAAAGGAAAAGAGATTTATTTCTTAAAATTTCCTGTGGCCTGAGCTATACTATCACTGAAGTAAAGCTTCAACTTAATTTAAACCTTCCCCATTAAACTGAATTTTAAAACATATGTTATTGCTCCAATAACGTTAATACTCTTTTTAAATTGTACTTTAGGTTCTGGGGTACATGTGCAGATCATGAAGAGTTGTTGCACAGCTCCTTACATGGCAAGGTGGTTTGCTACCTCCATCCCCGTCACCTTTATTTGGCATTTCTCTTTCTCTCCATGTTATCCCTCCCCAACCTCCCCACCCACGGCTGTCCTTCCCCTAGCCACTCCCTCAACAGACCCCAGTGTATGATACTCTCCTCCCTGTGTCCATGTGTTAAGTTAATACAGTTTTAATAAAAATTCAAACAACAGAGAAGGGTATAAAATGAAAAGTCAGTTTTCTGACACCCCATTCCCAGCTCCTACCACAACTTTTAAGATTTTTTTCTGTATCATCCCCAAAATGTGTACCCATATGTCAAATACAAAATTTCAGTTCTACACATTTTTGCACTTAATATATCTTGAGGCCTTTCCAATTAGAACCCCTAGGACTGCCCCACTTTTCAAAATTGCTGCTTATTTTTTCATTGCATGAATTGGTTATAAATCCTTCTCTTGCCGATGCATGTCTAGGTTGATTTCATTGCAAGACTCACAGTAAGACTCTGTGCCATACATTGGCATGATCGGACAAGCAAATCTATAAGATAAAGCCTTAGAAGAAGTGGAACTGACATAGCAAACTGTATGTGGATGTTACAGATAATATCAAAGTATCCTCTAAAAATGTCAATTTACTTTTCTATTAACAGCATCTAAAAAATGCTTCTTTTTTGGAGACAGAGTCTTGCTCTGTTGCTGAGGCTGGAGTGCAGTGGCGCAATCTCTGCTCACTGCAAGCTCCACCTCCAGGGATCAAGCAGTTCTCCTGCCTCGGCAGCTAGGACTGCAGGCGTGCCACCATGCCTAGTTAATTTTTGTATTTTTAGTAGAGATGGAGTTTGGCCATGTTGGCCAGGCTGGTCTCAAACTCCTGATCTCAAGTGATTTGCCCACCTCGGCCTCCCAAAGTGCTGGGATTACAGGTATGAGCCACTGCACCCGGCCTGGAAAGTACTTTGAATTAGCTTTTAATTTTACTAACTTGGAAGAAAACCCTTAATGATTATGTTATAACAGGAGATTGAAAGATCACAATTCCAGAACCACATGTGAGCTGTAGGCATGACATTCAGGGTACCTAGATAGAGCCTGTTTTCCAAAGTGAGACAGAGCTTTCTCTTCTTTTGCGTGTGAATCACATTCACATCTTGATTATTGTTTTCTGGGATGATTAAGTGGTCTGGAAAGACTCCTCAGGAATGCCACATTTTCCATCCAGTTGTAAAATGCTAATAACCTGCTTCCAGTTTCAGACCACGTTTATCTTCTTGAAAAAAGCAAAGGATTCTTTTAAAT